TTGTTTGGGAAGATGATTCTCCAGGTGTGTAGGATACGTTCCCAAAGGGATTTGGTCTGGGGAATGTCGTTGGGGTTCTGATGTAATGTTTGGTCAGATAGTCTCTGTTTTCCTCTTGGTAGTGGCCAGTTTTTGTTGTAAATCCAAAAGAAGCCTGTCATGTTGTAAGGGGATGTGAATGGTGCTAGTTCTTTGATATGGTTTAGGGCTAGGGGGGTCCAGTGTAGGTTGTCCTGGAGGGTTAGTCTTATAATCCATTTGATTTGTAAGGCTTGTATTTGGCGGGCTGGGTCTATAAGACCTAAGCCCCCTTTGCTCTTAGGGCTGGTGACTATCTGCCAGGCAACTTTGTGGATAAAGTGTTGATTATCAGGAATACCTGTCCATAAGAAGACTGCTGTTTTTGTCCTCAGCTGGCTGTGGAAATCAGTGGCTGGGAACCATATGGAGGTAGCATACCACATCATGGCTAGGATTGAGTTGTTGAGAGCCAGTACCCTGCCTAGTAGGGAAGTGTATTTGGCTTTCCATGTGTGCATCCTGTTAATCATGGAAGATAGGAGTGTCGCTGCTGATATTTGGTGACATCCCTTGAGGTTAAGGCTGATGCCCAAGAAACGGATTGGTGATTCCGGGTCAGCCTAGTGTAGACCTGCTGGGGAGAGTTCTGTTGAAGGAGGTGTATCTGCGGTCCACCAGCCTATTGTCTTGGTCTAGTTGACTTTCATCTCTGAGGCTAGTTGGAAGGCTTGCATTGCTCTTATTAGGGCTTGAAAGGAGGAATTTGAAGCCCTGATCAGAACTGTGAGGTCATCTGCGAAGAGGAGGGTAGTAAGAAGGTGTAGAAATTGGCCGCGTTCATCCTTGATGTTATCTATTTTTTCGATGGATCTATCCTTTCTTAGAAAAGCTGCTATGGCTTCCATTACAAAGAGGAAAATCGGTGCTGCTAGTGGGTCCCCTTGTCTTACTGAGCTTGACATTGGGTATGGATTCGAGAGAAAGCCATTCTCACCCACTTTTTGAAAACGGGGCCTACTCCCATTCTTTCCATGCTGGCCTGGAGAAAGTCCCAGTTGACTTGATCGTATGCTTTTTCAAAGTCGAAGAAGAGGATGGCAGCAACTATCCGTTTTTGGTTAATTATTCTTGTTGCTTCGCAGAGGGACATTACGTTGTCTAGCATTAGTCTACCTGGAATGAATCCTGTCTGATCTAGGTGAAAGCAACCTCTTGTGATCTTGTTTATTCTGGTAGCTAGAAGTTTGGCTACTATCTTGTAGGAGACGTTTAGTAATGAAATGGGTCTGTAGTTTTTTATGTCCTCTCTCTCACCCTTTTTGTATAAGAGTGTCACCACTCCTGTATTCAGGTCTGGGCCTAGTGTTTCTCCCTCCCATGCTCTTGTGATGAAACTAAGGAGGAGTGGTCCTAGGGTGTGCCAGCTTGCCATCCACAATTCCTTTGAGAGGCCGTCCCTTCCTAGGGCTTTGTTGGGTTTGAGGTCGCTCAGGGCTCGGTGTAATTCTTCTAGTGATATGGGTTCATCTAGTGCTTGGGCGGTTTCTGCTGAGATGGATTTGTCTAAATGGGTTAAGAATTTCTCTCTTGCTCTATTTGTTGAGTTGTTATCACCTTTAGGGGTTTTCGTGGTGTAGAGGTCTTTGTAAAAGGTAGTAGCTATGTTGACTAGTTTCGTGGTTTTTGTGCTTAGGTTCCCATTCACATCACGTAGGCATACTATTTTGGAGTTTTTGGAATTGGCTTTGATTTTTTGGAAAAAAAAATTGGATATTTTCGTTCAGTTCCCAGTCTTTTACTTTGGCTCTTAATTGGAGGCCATCGAGCTTTAGTTTAGTCCATTCGCTTGGTGAGTAATTCCGCAAAGAACTCTGAGTTTGGGTGATTCTGTAAGTTCCATTCCGCTATTTCTATTGTGTTCTTGAGGGTTTCCTCTCTTTCCTTTTTATGCGAGGCTAGCTTCCTAGATATTTGTGTTGTGAGTCTGATATCTAGGGATATGGCTTTATGATCTAGCCCCTTGTGGTATGGGTTGTTGTGAATGAAGCAGTCTTGTATGGCTCCTGATAGTGATTTTGATGTGAGGAAGAAATCTTCTTACTTTCCGGGTGTAGAAGGCGGTATGGGTCTAGTAAGTTTTTCCTGGTCATGAAGTCATTTAGGTCAGCACTATTAGATTGTGATGTGGGATTGAGGGAGTGAGAGATTTTGTCTAGATTGGGGTTTTGAATTGAGTTCCAATCTCCCATGATGATGGTGGGTGTGAGTGTGGGGATGTGTTGTTCGATCGTGGTTAGGAAAGGGGTTTTGTCTTGTGGAATGTTCGGTCCGTAAATCCCTATGATGGTCATCTCCTCTTCTTTGAATTTGATGTCTAGTTTAATCCACCTACCTGTGG